GAAGAAATAAACAGAGGCGAAAACGCGCGCGCACGAGACGGCGACCTATCTGCATCACTATCTTCCGGCTTTTCAACCGGCTTATTATTAGCTTTCCTCCGTGGACCAGCCACAGGAAGATCATCGTCGTCGTCATCATCATCATCATCATCATCCTCGGACATCGCTTCATCAGCTGGCGAATCCCGTTTTTCTTGCTGTGCGTTCCTCAGGCTCTTCGACACACGATCAAATGCCGATTCACTCTTCTCAGTATTCTGGGCCTGTAGTCGAGCAGCCATGCGGCCCTTGGGCATAATAATGTCGTCGTCTTCGTCCGAGGCCTCTTCATCCACGTCCATGGCTGGTGGTTGGTCCGAGACTGTGCTGTTCTTGAGAGTGTCGGTGATTCTTGCGATGGATCTTTGAGGCTGTGCATTTCCGCTGTCTGAATCTGAGTCGCTGTCGAATTGGGCGAGCATTGCTTTGATCTTTTGCCCTGGGGTGAGCATCTTTGGTGAGTCGGCTGCTGGCGACGCGGAACGCGCCGTCCGCGGTGTGGAGGGGTTCGACATTGTTGCGTCGGATGTGAGGATTGGCGTTAGCAGGTGGGAATTGGGAATGGTATCATTACTATAGTGTTCGATCGTAGGTTGTGTGGTTAATTCCTTTTGGTCATAGGAGGGAGAAAAATGGAGAGTGGGCTATGTATGGAGTAAATGTCAGTTCCATCTAGGGCGGAGAATCTACGACTAGTACTGAACGACGCGCCGCGTGTTGAGCGCGTATCCTCCGATTGCCGTCACATTCCCTTATCGCACGTGATATGCGGAGAGCCCTATTTTTCATTAGAGATTCTAATGTAACATAACACTGGAAAGCGTTTGGGACATTGAGTGATTTATTGCAGGTTATTTAGACATATCTCGCTATATGACAGTGACAGACAGTGGTAATATGCTTGGAGTTTAGTTTTAAAGTAGGTAGTAATGGTTCAATAATACATGTTCATGCAAGATATCGGTAGTAGAGCCATGTAACGCCAAGTGAACTCCATCCGTTTTCAAATACAAGAACCGACGCTGTGCCAGATGCTTCGCAGTTGGAGACAGGAATGTGGTTTCTGGTCCAATCCCCAAGAGTCTATACGTCATCAAAGAATCGTTGGCTATCCAATAACCAGAGCTGTACGTAGGATAAAACACAGTTCGTGAACATCGGTATGTAGCAATACGTTGCCGAGGATCAGATCTCAATATCAAGGTCCAGATCTAGAGCTGCAATGTTCTCATCGTCCATATTGCGATGACGAATTGTTGCGACACCACCCTTGGTGGGTTTCTTCTGGGAGCCAGAGGGGGTGTTGCTTCCGTTGGGGGTATTGGCTTTTGATGGCGTGTTGGACCCGGTGGCAGGGGTTCCATCCCGACTAGTAGCTTCTGATTGTGCTAGACCGTTGCCATTGGCGTCGTAGTGTGTCCTGGCATGGGTCCTGACGCGCATAAACGGGTTTGGCTGAGCTTCTCCGCGAGCGACTGCTGCGGCGGCCTTTCGGCTGGCCTTTCTCTCTTCCAGCTGAGCACGGCGCACATTTTCGGTGTTGAGTCTCTGATTGCGGAGGTTCAGTTCTAACAAACGCTCATGCTCAGAAGGCTTGTCTGCACGGGGTTTCGAAGAGTTCGCGTTGAAAGCAAGCTTAGGTGCGCTCATGCCAGCCATTTCGGACTCTAATCTCTCGACCTCAGCATCGTCACCCGCAGCCTTCGCAAGCTTCAGCTTCTTTTCTGTCTCCATCCGCTTGAACACAGTCGACTTGGTGTCCAGTGACCCTTGCTTCCTCAGTTTTTCCGTCAACTCTTCCGGTGTGAACTTATGGTTCAAGAGTCGGTTAATATCCACGACTTTCTCAGCTAGCGTAGATTTTGTTGCCATCTTGCAGTCTTCAACAGCCATAGTTTGACGATAACGATTGAATTCCGCCTGCGACACCGTTAGAAAGCTGGTTTACACGAAGAAGGAAGAAACAAACCTCAGACAAGGGAGAGTCTGAACAAGCAACGAAAGGGAACTCCCGCTCTGCTTTCCCATGCGCAAGCACAGCATATTGCTTCGTCACGAATGATCGGCCATTAGGACCCTCCATAGAATACGGACGACCCTCGGTGAATCCTAAGGCTGGTTAGGAACAAATATGAAAATAGGAGTTGACGACAGATTGGCAATACATACTCTTAATCAGGCAAAGGCGATACTCATTCTGGCCGGTTTCCCTGTTCGGACCGATGTTGACTCGTGCATAACAGCCAGAGATGGCGTCGTCAAATCCAGGATAGAAACAGACCTGCGCGAAGTTGGTCCGACCTACACGAGCTCGCTGGATATCCCTAAGCTCCGCTGGTGGATCATCCTTTGGTAGCGATGGTGACCGATCTCTATCGTCCCACTCAGCATCACTGTCTCCCTCCGCATCTTCGTCAGAAACCCTGTTATCCCTCGAACGAACAGTCTGATCCTTGGATGCCGGCTCACGACGACGAAGTTCATCTCGCCTGCCCTTCTGCTCACGCTGTCGCTTGTACGCCTCGATCGCATCCGAGGTTTCGCCAACCTTGCGACCACCAAGTGTTGTCTTCTGGCGCGAGCTCTTCCGTTGACCATCCTCTAAGTTTGCCATGCTGGCTTTCCGCTTGTTCTTCTTCGCTTGGCGGGCTTCTTCGCGCTCACGGGAAGCCAAAAGGCGCCTAAGGGCTAGATCTTGATTGTGGCGGTCAACCTGTTGCGCTCGTTCGGACAAAATTTGCTCTCGTTGGATTTCAGGCATCGCATGATTTCTTCCTTGTCCTTCGAGGAATAATATAACTTGTCGTAAGGAAAGATGGGTCCGTCGTCTTCAGCACCGGCATCTGACCCCTCCGAATCAGACGCCGACTCCGATTCTACCATGCTGGCAGAGTCAAGAGAGTTGTGAGATTCAGCGGCGGACCTGGTCAGAAATACTGTGTCAGTCACCTTATTGCACCACGACATGAGCGCAAGCTAGACCTTCCATCAGGGGGGGAAAAAAGAAAAATATCGAACATACACCTCTCCGTCCTCCTCATCGTCTTTCCGTGACTTTCGACCTCGACGGACGGGCTTAGCAGTTCCTTTGCGACCCATAGTTGACGACTCTTCGGGGGATTGTGGGGGAGATGCAGAAGGAGAAGCATCCTTCTGTCTGGGGGGCGAAGACGCCTCCTCATCTGAGGTGTCACCCGCAAGAGCGAGCAGCTCGGCATCAAGATCATCCGCCATAGTGAATAACACAAAAGATGGGCTGAAATAAGAAGTGGCTGAGTCAGTCGGAAAGAAGCGCCTCTCAGCGACGGGAAGTGCCGGCTCAGGCAGAGGAGATTGGTGAGAGAATAGTGAGCGGACGACCCCTGGGCGGTAGTCGCAATGAAAGAGGGTCTAACTAGCCGGAGCGGACACCAGAGTCGTATTAAATGGTCGTATATAGGATTATAGATGACTCCTGCAAGGAGAAGCGGTTCAATAACGGGGCTATAGAGGAACAATGATATAAGAACGCCGGCAAAGGGAGCAGTTCGGGTGGCGGGTTGAAGAAGTTGACTTTGACTGAACTTGGAAGTGAAAAGAAGCGACTAACTTCAAGAGTCGCGGTCGGCATGACGTCCGTCGTGCCAAGCCCTTTCGGGTGGTTAAGCGCGCGTCTGCCGGATTAAATTAAAGAAGTGCAGTCGATCGGGTTGGACCACCTCGGAATGACGGTCTTTAGTCCGTCGTCGTCTAGTGTGGATTTCTACCTTCATTTCCTTTTTCTCTTCCTGTCGCTTTCCTTACGACTCACTCACGCTTCACTTGTCTCAACATCAGACCGAGATGAAGACCGTCACAGCACTCCGGAGGTGCCCTCTTCCCCATTCCTACCGGCCAACATCGCCGGCGGTGTTCGATTTCCTCGCACCGTCAACTTTGCGACAGAGCTCTCGCGGATACAAATCCACGACGAATGCACCCTTCTGGGGCAAATCGCATGATGCGTCTCCATCGCCCGACTCAGCCGCTAGTTCGTCAAAACCCAAATATGTCCTCAGTCAAAAACAACGCGAGTTCTTGGATAGCGCCCTTCGGGTCAACCAGGCTGGAGAGCTGGCCGCTACGTTAATTTACAAGGCGCAAACGCCGCAGGTCGTGCGTTCTCATCCCCACCTGCGTCCTTTGATGAAGCACATGTATGATCAAGAAGCTGGGCACTTTTCCACGTTCAATCAGATGGTTGCGAAACATCAAGTTCGACCAACGGCAATGTATCCGATCTGGGAGGTGGCGGCCACATTTCTCGGCTGGTCGACGGGAGCAATGGGACGTGAGGCTGCCATGGCCTGCACAGAAGCTGTGGAGACGGAGATTGGCTCTCATTACAATGAACAAGTGCGCGAGATCCTGTCGTGGCAGGCGGAAGCGGAACGTAGAGGGGAAGAGCTGGACGATGAATTGAAGGATATGCTGGCAACTTTCCGAAGGATCCGCGACGAAGAATTAGAGCATTTGGACCATGCTGTGGAGAATGACGCCAAAGAAGCCCGGCCCTACGACCCGCTAGTCAATGTCATCCGGTTAGGGTGTAGAGCGGCCATCAATATCAGTGAAAAGGTATGATCCAGCAAGCAAGCTTGGATATAATTTTGAGAGCGGTAAGGGGTACCATACGGTGTGGTAGACCGCTGATACGCTACGCGTCCTTTGTACAATACCACACTCATAGTAGATGTATTATAGTCTTGATTAATGCTCTGTGAACATTGACGATCTTCAAACCTATCTATTTAACTTCCTTCTACATTCTCTATCTCTCGTATGTACTATATCGATGTCTAAACAAGCCCGCAACGCATTGGCTCACGCGTCAATCGATCAAGGTCTAAACAAGCGCTGGGTATCTAAGTCACGTCGTCGCAACCTCGCTCTGATGCAAGGGGAAACCACTAAACGCATGTCCCCCGTCGCATATCGTCGTTTCAGTTATCTGCCTCATCACCCTGGTTCTTCTCTAGGTAATCCAAAAAGCCCCTCGAAAACCGAACAACCTGCTGGTAAACCTCCTCGAACCCATTGACACCCCCATAATAAGGGTCCTGCACCACCTCGCCACCTCCCACACGCTCATGCAACACTCCACCGGCTCCAAAGTCCCCAAATAACCGTACCTCCGCAACCTTAGCAGCCTTCTTGGATTTGCTCAGGGACGCTTGGACAGAGTCGCGCACGTCCAGGAGATCGCGCAAGTTGTGCTTGTCCATAGCCATGAGATAGTCGAACGTCAAGAAGTCCTCCTTGGTGACCTTTCTGGCGGCGTGGTTGTAGTTCTTAATACCGTGTTGGCGGAGAGTAGACATGGTGCGAGAGTCAGGAGGTTCGTGAGTATGATAAGCACCTGTGCCGGCGGAATCGATCTCATCGATTAGAGGGTGAGAGGCAGCCATGTTCCTAAAGACTCCCTCGGCCATGGGAGACCGGCCTGTGGTGATCAAAAGGTTAGTCTCGATTCCTTTTCATTCCCATGCGGGGAGGGAAAAGGGTAAACTATACAGATGTTCCCAAGACAGACAAATAGAACATTGACTTGACGTCCAGAAGGTGCTGTCTTTGTAGCTGTCATTTTGGTTTGTTCTCACAGACAGAAGGATCTGTTCCCGCCTATGTATGATTGAGGTGTATGAAGGATAACGACTCTGTCATTTGATCTAGATTAATGAATGATGGCCGCGGGGTTTGCCGCAGATTCTTTATCGATAGTGAGTGGTCCGTGCGTAATCAAGTGTAATACTACGACGGATTAGAAAATGAGTAGAACGCACTCGCTCGGTCTTCGAAGAATGGAATATGAAGCACGGCTCGAAAAGGGTATCACCGCACATGATGGACACAACCCTATCCCAGCCAGAACGTCAATATTGGGGCCGATGGACCATCGACATAAAGGAGACTCGCCACATATGAATCAGCAGTTAATGTACACCATACTATAATTCTGATGATCACGATATTCTATCCCTAGTTCAGTGCTTGCGATAGCTCCGCTTGTTCCAGGTCCAGCTTATGCTTTACTACTACTTAGATATAATAAATGATGTTTAGACACCTTATCATTCATCACCTTAGCACAGCCAAGAAGCCGGTATCAAGATCGGACAGCAAGAGCTTCTCTACCCTCCTAAGCCAGGCTATTGAAAGGGGGCTTTACGGAGATAAGACGAGGGGAGATCCGTGGAAAGTGACAGAGGAGCAACCCCAATACTTGCTTCCATTAACGCTTAGTATGCTTTATCCGATCCGCTGTCATGGGTACGTTGTATAACCTGTACAGAGAGTACAGGCGGGGATTGGGAGGGTGAATCAACAAAATCAACATATCCAGAGGAGCTCAGCCTCGATAGCTCTATCAATTTGTTCTATTTAATCTGTGATCCATAAGAATATCTGGGGTGGTTGACATTGGTAGTCATTGCTTACTGAGCTCGGCATTGAGGTCAAGCCCGAGATCGGGCTTGATTTCAAACGCGAAACAGCAAGTCGGCGATGTTGAAGTTCAGAGCGCCGAGCTTGTAACATCGCCATGAAATATATTTTTTTAGATTGGGAGCTATATATAGCTGCCATCACTGTCCCTCAGGCCTTGCTGTGATCATCAGATCTAGCGACGCCATTCTATCGGTATCGAAATGGGCAACGTCAGAAAAGTTTCTATCATTGGGGTACGATACTTTGCATCCCCCGGCCAATTCTTCTCATTGTCACTGATAACATGAATGTAGGCCACCGGCACCCTTGGTTCTCGCATCTCTGGCGCATTGCGAGCTGCTGGCCACGAGGTAACCGCTATCCAGCGTAAGGACTCGAGCAAGCCCGCTCCAGAGGGCCTGAAATCTATCAAGGTCGATTACCAGAACAAGGAGGAGTTGGTTTCAACTTTCACTGGCCAGGATGTTGTCATCAGGTAATGAGCTTGCTCAAAATGCCAACTTTAGGATGGCTCTAACCGGATCATGTCCAGTGCGGTCCCTTTCCCTCTGCTCGACTCGGAAAAGATCATAATCGATGCCTGCATTTCTGCATCCGTCAAGCGTTTCATTCCCTCCGAGTTCACCACTATGCTCGAGTCCCCCCTATCCATCAACCTACCAATTGCCAAGGAGAAGGTTCTAATTCGTCAGTACCTCACCTCCGTCATGTCCAGTACCTCCAGCCCCACCACATGGACCTCGGTCAATAACGGCGCCTTCTTTGACATGGCCCTTAAGTACGGCGTCTTAGGCCCCAACCATATGACCAAAAAAGCCATCTTTCACGATGGCGGTGACAAGCCGATCGCCGTGTCGACCCTCTCTGATATCGCCGCGGCGATTGTCAAGCTGCTGGAGAGCAACAGCAACTTCGAGGCTGCCGCCAATCAGCCCGTCTATATCTGCTCGGCTGCTGTCACGGAGCGCCATCTGACTGGGCTTGTTTCTGAAGTCACTGGCATTGACTTCGGTACTCCGGAAGAAGTGTCAGTGAAGGAGCTGATCACGAAGTCAGATGAGAAGTTGAAGCAGGGAGACAAGTCGGTAATCATCAACTACTACTTCCAGATGATGTACGGGGAAGGGTATAAGGGTGGCGACTTCATGCAGTTCAACTGGAATGAACGATTGGGTCTGCGGATTATGTCTGAACAGGAGCTCAAGAGCACCATTCAGCAAATCTTGGGTAATTAGATTTGATACTTTCGGCGTGGCCTCTTTTAGACTTTAGATCATTGTTTCTCTACGAAACATAGTATCATCTTCAATTTGAAAGCAATGGGGCACTCACATAAGCACTTTGGAGCCAACGAAAAGAGACATAAGAGCGGCTGCAGCGCCAGTCTGTAATACACTCTTTATTACCTGTATCACTCTTGCACGTCTACTGCAATCGAGCGATGCGCCTAGTGATATTCGAGAAAGCCTAGTAGATGTCTCAGTAGAGACGCCCGGTACATACGAAGTCTTCAGTATTGAATAAAAAATATATGAGTAATACAAACCCATCAATCAAAATACATGAAAATAGAATGTGTCTCATTCGTCCTTTCTGAACCGTCTTGAGAGATCCAATCGCCATAGCCATGGAGGCCGCTAGCCCTCTAGAGAGCATTCGAGTTTCTTCCTTTCTAGCTCACTGATTCCATGATGCTCGATGCTCGTAGAACCGATAGGTTTTGGCACGGGACTGCCAGCAGCCAGTTCGAGCTGAGAGAGTATTTCTGCGAGCTACATGCAGGACGGAGGAACGTCTTCCAACCGAAGAGCTAGAACCATAATTCTTCAGTAAGTAGGTCAGGGTGCCCGATTGGAGAATTCAAAACTTACAGCCAGTGCCGGTTTGATTAGTGCTGGGCCGAATAGGGACGATTATTAATGTCCTTATTACAAGAATCATCGATCTCTTGGGTTTCTCGAGGAGCTGCCTGATCCAGTTCCGGAAGTCCTCGCTTCTGAGCAACACTGGAAGAATAAGCAGCATTGCCGGCAGCGCCAGCATTAGCAGTATTTCCGGCAGAACCGGCATTACTAACGGTACCAGCAGCACCAAAAGTGCCGCCTGCACTAGCATATCCATACCCAGTGCTTCCAACATTGCCAGAAGCGCCAGCATTGGCAGTATTCCCGGGAGAGCCGGCATTGCTAACGGTACCAGCAGCACCAGTAGTGCCTGCTGCTGCACTGGTATCTCCATATCCAGCACTTCCAGGATTACCAACATTGCCATAACCAGCACTGCCAGGGTTGCCAGCATTTCCATAGCCAGTACTTCCAGCGTTACCAGCGTTACCAGCGTTACCAGCGTTACCAGCGTTACCAGCGTTACCATAGCCAGCACTGCCAGGGTTGCCAGCATTTCCATAGCCAGTACTGCCAGCATTACCAGCGTTACCATAACCAGTACTGCCAGGATTTCCAGCGTCGCCATAGCCACTACTTCCAGGGTTGACAGGATTGCCAGAAGGAGCAGGGTTGCCAGAGGGAGTAGGGTTGCCAGAGGGAGTAGGGTTGCCAGAGGGAGAAGGGTGAGCGGCGCCATCAGGTTTGCTAGCATCGTTCTTCATGTTGGCCAGCTCGAGATTTTGTGCCCTGTTCATTTCTCCTTCACGGGCAGTTTGCTCCCTATTTTGTTCATTCTGGTCTTTAAGTACTGAGGCGCTGACAGCGCCAGGAATAGTTCCAATGGCAGCTCCCATAGCAGCCGAGCCATATATGTCTCCCCGAGTAGGGGTATTATCTACATGGACTTGTTGTGCTGACTGTGCCGCTGATTGTTGTCCAAAAAACGATTGCGTTGGTGATTGCGGCTGTGCGAAGTCTTGCCCAGGCTGTTGTCCTAGTGCTTGCGGTTGTCCCTGCGCTAGTTGTTGTCCTTGTACTTGTGGTTGTCCCTGCGCTGACTGTTGTCCCTGCGCTAGTTGCTGTCCCTGTGGTGCCGCTTGTCCTTGTGCTGCCGCTTGTCCTTGTGCTGCCGCTTGTCCCTGTGCAGGCTCTGCTGGTTGTTGTGCTGGCGGTTGTCCCTGTGTTGGCGGTTGTCCCTGCGTTGGCGGTTGTCCCTGTGTTGGCGGTTGTCCTTGCGCTGACTGTTGTCCCTGCGCTGACTGTTGTCCTTGTGCTGCCGCTTGTCCCTGTGCCACCGCTTGTCCCTGTGCTGGCTCTACTGGTTGCTGTCTAGGCTGTTGCCCTTGTGCTGGCTGTTGACCTTGCGTTGGTTGGCCTGACGGCTTTGGCTGTTCTTGCTGCTGGGGTGAACCTCCAGATCCAGGCTTGTCTTCATTCTTGCCATCCTTTGTCGCTTCCTTTGGTGGATCCCCCTTTTTCTCCTCCTTCTTCTCATCCTTTGGAGGATCCTCCTTTTTCTCTTCCTTCTTCTCATCCTTTGCTGCTTCCTTTGGCGGACCCTCTTTTTTATCTTCCTTCTTTTCCTCTTTCTTATCCTCCTTCTTCTCTTCCTTCTTCTCTTCCTTTGGTGGGTCCTCTTTTTTCTCTTCCTTCTTGTCATCACCATGGTGGTCTGGCTTTTTGTGACCTCCCCCCACACTCCCGCCAGAGCTTTTCGATCTATCAACGATATTGCTCACAAGCTGGCCAAGCTTTCCCAAACCAAGCCGACGGGGTTCCAATTTAGCTTCGGGGCCAGAAGCATGCGGTGAAAGTGCGGATTCAAGAGGCAGTGCTCCGCATGATTGAAACAGGCAAAGGAGGACCAGAGCAAGCACCCCCAAAATTTGGCGCGAAACCATTGCTTGAATGGCTTTAACGAATGTAAGTGTATAGAATGGATAAATGAATGAGCTTAACTGTGAGAAAAGAATGACAAACAGTTGGTTGACCGAAAACGAAAGGAACAATGCAGAAAGGGGAGGGGGAATGCTACATCCATTTATACCCATAGCCCCCGTCACGGTCTCTCAACGTAGACTAAGAGATTGACAGCGAGGTTACCCATTCTAAGTTTGGAGTCAGAATGGCACCGCATTTGATAAGCATAACATTGAATCACGCACAAGTTGCGCCCCGTGTCTTGCCCGACGAGAGTGTAACCCTATCAGAGAGCCTCGACATCGGCCGAAGAGGAATAATTTCCTCCACCTCATGTTCTTTGTTTGCCAGACTGAACGACAGAAGCGGGAGTGTTGCACTCTAACTAACCGAACGGGGCGTATGCAGGGACAGACCGTCAGAACTTTGATAGTTGCATCGCCCGTGGTTCTTCTGTGGTGCTCACTCTCTCTACCCATGATGCCATCTCAAGTGACCACACTGTATTGTAAGCCCCTCTTCAGCATAGGTTTAAGCATTTATCGCTGTGCCCCACTGTGAGATAGTTGATGGGTGGTCCAGCCCAGTAGATACGACATCACCATGACACCTAGGTAGAGGGTAAACCATCCTTCTACTTTTAGATTATAAGGAAGGCTATGATTGAGCCACAAAGGTCATGGCAAAATGTATAGACTTTAGAACGCCAACCTCGGCCGTTTCAATGAACCTTCCCAGTTCTGTCTATATAGACCCCGTTGGATCTCGATTTTATCTTATCAACGTCTCAGCCTATCATCACTTCCAACACTCTTCGAACGTTGATCATTGACAAGCACATTTTCTTTCTCTACGTCCAGGGACTTCAAATCAGAATGAAGTCATTTGTCTCAGCCCTGGTACCGCTGTTCCTTGGGGCATTACAAGCCAGTCTTGCTCATCCGACGGGCACTGGTAACCAGTAAGCATATCAGTAGCGAGAGGAAGTCCATACACAGAACTAACGAGATACCAGTAATGGCACAGAGGATAGCCCTAAACCAGACAATTACGGAACCGATATTCTCGCAAGCTTTCCCCAACCAGCAGGTGACCTGTGCAACGACCAACTGAAAGGTGTTACTGTCGAGTTCATCCCTACTGGACCGGGGGCCTTTCGAATTGACAACATCCCACCTACATGCATGACGCTTGCAACCCTTTTTCTTGAGGGTCCTGGCTCGCCCGATCCCATTCCCCTTGGTAAGGACAACTTGGCCCTGCGTCACTTAGACTCTGATACTAACGTTAGATCTGTAGGCCCCGCATCTCTAGGATTCAGCGGCATATCCGATGATGGGCTACAACGTCTCCAGGCTATCCTTGATGCCCGTACCCAACATTAGGATAAGGGACAGCGGGCAGTGTTTATGTGGAGCATGCCGGGCAAATATAATGATTGCCTTGTGGCAGTTTATACCCCCAGAGAGTGTCTTTTTATTGGATTTCACATATCTGTCTCATGTACGCAGATCGTTCAGCTTTGTTTTTTAGTGTATCTTAAGATTATGACTGATGTTTCGTTGAATTACCAGCTATTCTATTTTGGTAGTTCTCTCCTTTTGTTTGATGATGTGATCGGACTAATCCATGAAGATACCCGTAGATCACGCCAGGGCCATTCTGCGTCTTGCTCGGCATTGGAGTTCACCACTTAGACCAAGTCCGAATCCACTGCCTCAGAGACACCAGTCTGCTACCTAACATTGGACGTCAAGTTCAGAAATACAGAATCACAAGAGAGGGATCCATATATTAAGGTTCCTGGCCGTCGCATCATCATCAGTATGTGAACGAACAGACATACAAGACAAAGAACAGATGCCGTTCAGGATATAGATCGGCTGATTCTTGCGCTTAGAGGTAGAACCTACGACACGGACGCATTAATCAATCCCAACATCTAATAATCCCGGACGTGCGGGGAAGAAAGGAATTCAAGACTCTGGTAAGTTTAATTACATCTGGCGTAGGATGGAGTGGAAATAGTCTTATGTGGTCACACATGGTCAACCCGTGCCCTAATATGGATCCTGAGGCCAGACTGCCGGGCACCAAACCTTAATCAGCGGCCGTTCCTGACTACCAGTAGTAGTCAACCTAGTGACTCGCGATGCCCTGATAAGGACTTGGAGCTGTCCTCATCGGGCACTCAAACTCAAATAAGGACAAAGACCGTCTACTTCATGATCGACAGGCACCGTGTACGGAGCCATGTTGGCATTGGACCGTTCAAAAGACAGGGAACATGAAACAGACACCCGCGCCCGCTGCGGCTGTCAAGGGGGGTGTTTGGCCAAAGGACCCAATAGCAAGGTGATGATACCCCGGAAAGACCAGCTCAACGAAAGCCGAAAGTGTCTATGAAAAGTAAACTATTCATGCTATGTTGCGCAAGCACTACTGTTCAGGCAGTGATATCCTAACTCCTAGAGTCTTTCAGGGTGTTCTGCCGCGAGTAAACACGATAATTGCCCCTGTACCCGGCAACTGGCTCTTGTGTGTAGCATCATATCAGCCCATCCAGCCCTTTATGCATAAACTGGTACCAGGGCCTTTCGTTGTATGAGCACCGAGGAAAGGACCCCGTGCAATTCTCAACAAGGACTTGCATTTCGCCAATCGAGTGGGGACAAATCCTAGAACTGGGGCTGGGATGTAATTTCCCAGTTTGTCCTTTCCGACGATTACTCCTGAACGGGGAGCAATAGCGCATCTTTCTTTGTTTTTGCCATGTGTGGAGAGTCTAAAGATGATGCTATTTCAACCCGTGCCCTCCACGGCCGATATCACTGCCACGTTCCACAATGAACAGCGTGGGGGTAGCTTTGCTTGAATGGTGGGACTCCGTTTGGTTAGAAAACGTGCCCTGATAACACAGCAAGCCGAGTCCTATCAATCAGCATTTCATATGACTTAGCTCCCCTTATTACAAAGAGATTTGGGTGGGAATGCTTGAACAGCGGGGCGGGATATATTTAGTAGTCTAGAAAATGTGTCTCAATCATCATACCATAGCTAAACGAATCATCGTCAGGTGTTGGCTCCCTTCCCCTTCATCTTCCAGTTGCGATAATGAGCTGCGGGCTGAACCCCATTCAAGATAATGCTGGATCCTAGCTAATGGATATTCCAACCGTTCTATCTTGCATCCTGATAACGATAACAAAGGGTGCACTGTTGCTTCTGTAACATGCAAAGATCCTCCCGGAAGATCTGTGGATCAACCCCTCAAATCAAGCCTCATGGCACCCAATCTCGCCGTATCAACTTATTTATCCGCTGCAAGTATGCCGATGTACCATAAAGCTAACAGTACTGACATTCATCCTTCGCCTCCATGTACCCAGGGTATTGCTATAGAGACTGCCAGATATCTATTGTCCTCTACATATTTGACGGCTACAAACTCGGCATTTATGAGAATATAGCCGTACCGTGCGTTATACTAACATATATACAGTTTTACTTGAGCCAGAATCTGCTTATTTTTATGCTGTACAGTCAAGGCTTGAGAGAACCCTATCAAAGACTACTATTTCCAGGTTTTGCCGAGAATGGTCGAGGTATAAATAGATTCCGCTGCGAGTTGAACGCTTATGAGAATCTTAGGAAGTACAACGTGTGCAAGTATGGCTTCGTTCTATATTTCTGCGGGTATATTAATCAAGTCGATTCTTTTGTGTTCCAGCCAGCTCTCTAACATTTTGTTAACGACAAATTCCCTCCTAACGCAATACTCCTCGAATAACTTCCAAATGCTGGGAGTTTAAAAATGCAAGAACTTCTCTACCATCTAGCGAGAAGATCAAAGGCAGGGACTCCCTCCAAACACGAAATTCTATTAGTGCTCGAGTAAGCTGATCAAGCAAGAACACTTGTGCTAGCTAAGGACTCATGCCCAGTGCTGTTAGCGGATTGTTGATATCCCTAACCCCAAAGCTTCCTCCAACGGCGAAAATAAATGTAAAATATGTTCTTGCCCATGCATGAAGTTCTATCTAGCAGCCTGGCAGCATAAAACGTTAGACTGGTCCTATCTCCTCCTATATACCAATCCGTTGTACTCACGATCAGTACCGTATATGGGCTTGTGAGTTATTAGCGGGAATGCCGCGCGGTACGGACATTGGTTACTATACTCTAGATGTCTACGTTTATACCTCTTCAATAGCCAGACCTGCATGCCGGAAATGACCTTCGCAGGAGGGACATCAACATCCCGGGATGTATTGATCGAGATTTATTCGACCATCTGTCATGGAGAGTCTAATACGACCTCTTGGATCCTGTCCACTTACCAAATCAGCCAGAGAAAGAACATCGTACTATACAAGACCGAAGGCACAGTATGCTAATACTACTACTAGTAGTAGTACTACGTCTACTTGTTCTGTCGACGGAGACATGGAACGCTGTAGCTCAATGCTATTCGCCCTTGGCCTAGGCGGTGGAGACGGTACACCAGGAACAAGTCACAAAAGGCGAGCTTATGTCATGTGATATCTCACGTAATCTTATGCGTTGTTGGGCCTTGAAATAGTAGTACGTAGGAGGAAACCAGGGGTAGACACATTACTTATCCTCAGGCTCTTGATCGAGAGACAATCCAATTTAAAGCTTGGAGTTGCTTGGAGTTGCTTGGGGGGGAGTTATAGACCACCGGCATATACTTCCCGTCGGCCCATTGCTGACAGTTATGACGTTGGTCGGATTAGTACAGTATATACATACACTAGCGCAGGTCTATAGTTAGACAGAGTATGTGAAAGGCAACGGAATATTCTGTGAGAGTCGTGACCTCCTCTGACAGGGCTGAAGAACTGCCTTTCTTTTAGGCTACCAAGAAAACGTTCCTATAAAAAGAACTGACAGACAAAAAGCACATTTTCCAATGACGCACCCAAGGAACCGCCACGGCAGTGTGGCTGTGGACGAGATGTTGTTGGCCCAGTGATGGGGAGTGGAGACACGACCCAATGGGCCAGTGCAACTCTACCGAACAGTAATAAAGAGAGTATCCACGGCTGGCCAGGGTTTCGTTTCTAGGGAATTAATCTCCCGGATGTTCTGATCCTGTCAGGAATTCTCCGTGGTGCTGAGACGGGAAGACTCTCCCACGGTCAAGGGAGATATCCATATACTACTAGTACTAGTAGTAGTAGTAGTCCGTAGACACAGCAGAGAGAAGCAAAGATACTCCGTACTGTCCGTACCGTACTGTGAATCCTCCCGTCCAATCAGGCCCCACTGTCTGTGTTTTTTTGTTATGTTCCCACATGACTTCACGATCGTCGGCTGGAAAAGGAAATCTCATTCGTACCTCATTCAACTTCTGCCCTCTAGTCAGATCCTCCCCATTAATTAGTTCGTTATCGTGGTCCACAAATCTCTGCTGATCTCTCCGTTCCTTGGTCAACAAACGTAACCCCCCGCCAAGACCGGTTGTGCCTCGCGCTTTGCTTTGCTTGGGGAAGAAAAGGTGGCGCGGGCAGCTTTCCCAGGCACTCGTCAAAAGAAAAGGCGGCCTCTTGCCCATCTTCTTCTTTAACCTCACCATTTCGTCGTGCTTCACGTTTCACCGAGATCAATCGGACGCTGTTGACAACAAATCAACGGTACCCACCTTTTATCTTGTCAACCGCCTATCACTCTTCGCTGAAACTTTCGCCGAGAAACCGACCTGGGAACCATTGAAAGTGAATTGAGAGCATTCCACCCGCGCTCCTGGCGCAATCTCTCTCCGCAACTCCCCTGTTCAAAGAACTCGCGCCGATTGGAACGATTATTAACCCGAAACACGATCGTCCAACATGTCGTACAATCGCCTGGGTCAGTATATTTCCCATTGCGCATCGTTCCCCGGGTTAAAGCTGTTCGGATTGCGTTGCTGTGGGCTGTCGCAGCGATACCCGTTCTCCGCATTCATTTCCGTTCTGAAACTTGAGAACGTTGGGGGGAATTTGTCGATAGCCTCGGCGCGCAAGCTGACAGCATCTTTTGTCGCCCTTCTTTGTTGTTGTGTTCGCCCTCGTTTTGTTTCCGCTTGCTCTCGCTTTCGCTGGACCCTCAGCCTTGTTGTATCCTTTGGTATACTGACGCCCGAGTCCAGGAGAGTCATATGGGGAGGACGACCATAGTAACTCTCCCATGATGAACCCCCATCAGATGAACAATCGGTCTCCGTCACCGGGTCGACCATTGAATGCCTACCAACTCTCAGATGTTTCTTATGGGCCACAGGAGCGTCTGCATATGCCTTCGAGTGATTTGCTGGCCGAGCAACCAACGGTAAGCATCCCGGATGACGACATACCATGGTGTCATATCTGACAACTTGGGGTAAACAGTATTCCGTGGAGAGGTTGCCAAACTCTTACGGTCATAACGAAGCCTACGAACAGCGCCACCCGCAGGCTTACCCCGGATATGAGTATTCGGTGGATCCCGAGGCCCATCACGACGCCTACTATACGCAACCTTACCAACCTACAGCCACGCCACATGATGATTATGACTTAGGACAATACCCCGAACACCAGCACCAGCACCAGCACCAGCACTCTTATAGTGATGATCGCATTCCCATGCTACAACAGGACAATCCATTCGGACCCGATCCCTACAGCGATGAATACCAGGTGGAAGAACCAGCTGACGGCCACACCCCAAGCCCGGCACCCCTCCGACGATGGAAAACGGTCAAGGAAGTGCAACTGTTCAATGGCAATCTCGTGTTGGATTGTCCGATCGCGCCCAAGCTTCTTAGCCAGGTTCCTCACGCGGAGCCTCCGGGCCGTGACGAGTTCACGCATATGCGCTATTCCGCCGCAACATGCGACCCCAACGACTTCTTTGAGGAGCGCTTCACGTTGCGCCAGAAACTGTTCGCTAAGCCTCGGCATACCGAACTTTTCATTGTGGTAACGATGTATAACGAGGATGACTTTCTTTTCGCGCGGACGTTGATTGGTGTATTCAAAAACATTGAGCATATGTGCTCGAGGACGCATAGCAAGACATGGGGCAAGGACGCATGGAAGAAGATCGTGGTTTGCGTGATTAGCGATGGTCGTGCCAAAATCAACCCACGAACCCGTGCAGTGTTGGCTGCTATCGGAGTCTACCAAGACGGCATTGCCAAGCAACAAGTCAACGGCAAAGACGTGACAGCACACATCTACGAATATACCACTCAGATCGCTCTCGAGCTGAAGGGAACCCAAGTTCAAATCAAAGGACGTTCTGCAGTTCCCGTGCAGATGATTTTCTGTCTGAAGGAAAAGAACCAGAAGAAAATCAACTCCCACCGCTGGTTCTTCCAGGCATTTGGACGAGTATTGGACCCCAATATTTGCGTGCTTCTCGATGCGGGAACGAAGCCCGGCAAGGACTCCATCTATCGTCTCTGGAAGGCATTCGATGTGGAGCCGATGTGTGGAGGGGCTTGTGGTGAAATCAAAGTCATGTTGTCGCATGGAAAGAAACTGCTCAATCCCCTGGTTGCTGGTCAAAACTTCGAGTACAAACTGAGCAACATCCTCGACAAGCCTATGGAATCCGCGTTTGGGTTCATTAGTGTGCTTCCTGGTGCATTTTCGGCGTACCGATATGTCGCATTGCAAAATGATAAGAACGGCCAAGGTCCGTTGGAGCGGTATTTCCTTGGTGAAAAGATGCATGGCGCGAATGCCGGTATTTTCACGGCGAATATGTACCTGGCTGAGGATCGTATTCTGTGTTTCGAAATTGTCACCAAGCGGAATTGTCGCTGGCTCCTGCAATACGTGAAGTCGTCTACTGGCGAGACCGACGTTCCGGATCGGATGGCCGAGTTCATTCTTCAGCGCCGTCGGTGGCTGAACGGCAGTTTCTTCGCCGCGGTGTATGCGATCGCCCATTTCTATCAGATCTGGAGAAGCGACCATTCGGCTATTCGGAAATTCATGCTACTCGTCGAGTTTTTCTATCAGACCATCAACATGCTGTTTGCTTGGTTTGGCATTGTAAGCACGACTCTTATCTCCTACCGGCTACGGCCACACTGACTCTTATTGCAGGGTAACTTCTTCTTGGTTTTCCACATTCTCACGACATATCTCGGGCAGAAGGACCTCCTCGGTACCACTGGTCGAGTGCTTGGAGTGGTTTTTGAATGGCTTTACCTGGCAACATTGGTAACGTGCTTCGTCTTGGCCCTGGGTAATCGGCCGGGCGGGTCCAACAAGTTCTACATGACCATGGTCTATTTCTGGATTGGGATCATGATTTACCTGGCCTTTGCTTGCATTTTCGTCACGGTGAAATCGATCCAAACGGAGGTGCAGCAGGAAGGCTTTACCTTCACGGATCTATTCACCAACTCCACGTTCTTCACGATCATTGTGTCCTTGGGCTCCACGTATGTCATGTGGTTTGTGGCATCGATTATCTTCTTTGATCCCTGGCATATGTTCACCAGTGTAAGTTCCCCTAGTCTGACTCTCAAGTTGGCCATTCTCACCCGGGACAGTTCATCCAATATATCTTGCTCACTCCGACGTATATCAACGTGTTGAATATCTACGCGTTTTGCAATACTCACGATATCACATGGGGTACAAAGGGTGACGACAAGGCGGAAAAGCTGCCCTCCGCGAACCTGAAGCCGGGCGGCAAGGTGGACGTCGACATTCCGCAGGATGATGGCGATCTGAACGCCCAATACGACTCCGAGTTGGCCAAGTTTGCTGAGAAGCCACCCAAGGAAGTACAGGTCGTCTCGGAAGAAGAACGGCAGGCCGATTACTACAAGGGATTCCGAAGTGCGGTCGTGTTGGCCTGGGTGTTTTGCAACTTTGCTCTGGGGGCCGTCGTGCTCAGCGCAGCAGGCTTGGACCGCTTCGACGAGAACGAAAAGACCAATGAAGGCTCGAACCAACGATCCCAGATCTACATGGCAGTCGTCCTCTGGAGTGTTGCCGGATTGTCTATCTTCAAGTTTATCGGAGCGCTGTGGTATTTGGTTGTGCGAATGGTAGGTGCATCCTTCATCAATACGTCTGATTCTTCACTGACGATTGTTTGCAGTTCCGCGGTGTTTAATTCTGGTCAAATGTTTTCTCTATGCGAATGATGTTTTTCGGGTACCACTGCAGGCTCATGTGGTACTATAAATGACGATGATGTCTCATGATGCCACTTTTATGGCCAAGATACCCTCGTGGCTATATGATATTGATGGATTTTGTCTACGGCGGGGCTTTGTATGTCACGAACGCGGACATGATGTATGATGTAGATACGAGGACTTATTATTTAGGATCGTCCAAAATGTAAACTATAGATTGGAAGATAACGGCCCGCTTTGCTCCCGGAGCCCAATTGATTGGAAGATCTGCAGATAACCCTGACATTAGTGCCTCCATGGCCGATAAGATTCTTCATGACGCCATCCAGGCAAAGGGTTGTGAGATTCTCTTCAAATCCCGACGCTGGATGAAGCCCGGCCCTCAAGGTACGTCGTATATCTTGGGTCATGCCCGGAAGGTCCTCATTCGAGCATCCCACCATTGACAGTGGGCCCTAACATTAAAAGGTCACTCAAAGCAGTATCAGTCACGGGCTTCTTCATCTCATGCACCTACTACTGTAAATTCACCATGCTTATATCCCAAAGTAAACCCGACCTGAACTATTCCGAGCGGGAATCGAATAGTGACACGGAGACGTTATGGAGTGCCGCGTCGGAGCAAAAGACTCGAAGAAAGTCAGTCCCAGTTGCCTCCCTCCTGAGAGATGCGGGGATTGCTAACTAACTCGGTGTAGGATTGACCTCTCAGTCCTCCCCCTGTTGCTGTTGGGGATGACAGTATTCCAACTGGACCGCATGAACATCGCCAGTGCCTTGACCGGCGGCTTCGGCAAGGATATCCACATCGACCAGAGCACCGTCAATTTAGGAAACCAACTGATGTTTCTGGGCATTATTGTGCTGGAGATTCCGTCCAATCTCCTACTGCAGAAAGTAAGTCGTCAAATGCTGTCGACCACCTTCGTCATCAGTCATATGGCATCCCACATTTATCCACACTGCCATGACCACGACAATTAACCCAACACCCTCGATACACAGCTCGGCCCCGACAAATGGATCCCCGCGCAGGTCCTCGCATTCGGGACCATCGCAACCTTCCAAATCTTCCTGCGCAATCGAACCGGCTTCCTAGTCGTGCGGAGTCTGCTCGGGCTCGCCGAAGCAGGCTACATCCCGGCCTCCCTATACACGCTATCGACATGGTATGCCAAAGGCGAGCTGGCGAAACGAGTCGGCATCTTCTTCTTCGGGATGTTCGGCGGAAACGCCATCTCGCCTCTGATCGGGGCGGCGATATTGAAACTCGACGGGAAACATGGCCTGAAAGGTTGGCAATGGATCTTCCTGAGTATGACCATCCCTTCGATACCAAAACACTCCGGGGATATATAGCTAGCTAGCCCTAAGCTAACATCCAACCAACACATACAGTCGAGGGCATCTTCACCATAACCACCGCAATTCTCATCCTGCTACTCCTCCCCCAAAGCCCCTCAAACCCAAGCCCGTATCTCCTGAACCGTGGCGTGATCGCCTTCTCCCCCGAAGACAGAGACGTCCTCCTCGCTCGCAGATCCCGAAGAGAAGAAGGAGAAGGAGAAAGAGAAAGCAAAAGAGAAAGCGAAGACACCTCCAACCCGCACCCAGCATCTCACATCAAAAAGGCCCTCCTCAACTACCGCCGCTGGCCCCATTTCCTCCTCGCCCCCTGCGTCTTCTCAACCTGGAGTCCGCTAACAACCTACACGCCCACGATCATGATGTACGTTCCTCCCATCATATAACACCCAACACAACAGAAATCCCCCCCCCAAAAAAAACCAGGGAACAAATAAATACCAAAGACCCCAAACAGGACCCTAACGAGAAGAAAAAAAAAAAAAAAAAGGACCCTAGGCTTCACACGCCTACAATCCAACGCGCTCACCGCAATCGGCGCCACCCTCGCCCTACCCCTAGTCTTCCTCTTCTCCTACATCAGCGACCGCAGCGCCAAACGCGGCCTAACCGTCATCGCCGCCGTGACGTGCTATCTGATCGTGCTGGTCGTGTGTCGGTGTCTTCTTCCCCGTGCAGAGGGCAAATGGAGCCAATTCGGTATCTGGACTGTGATCAATGCCTTCGCGGTGTGTTACCATCCCGTGCATAATACGTGGTTGCAGCTGAATTGTGAATGTGCGGGCGAGAGGAGTATTGCTATTGCGTGAGTTCCTAGTCTTTTTTTCTTTTATATCCTTGCTGTGATGTAGATTAGGGCTAATGGGTTGTATTGTTGTGATTGTTAGGATGTGTAAGTGTTCTCTGGTGGTTTGTTAACAGGGTTATTGTTGTTGGATTGGTTGCATAGGAGCTAACGGCGATGGATTTGGCTTGTCTAGGGGTCATGGCTTCGAATGCCGGTTTGATGGGCGGGTCGCAGATCTTTCAGGAGAGGGACTCACCCAGGTACGTTCTTTTTCTTTTTATGATTCTTTATGGATGTGGGACTGATGCCTGGGGTTGGGTTTGTAGGTATCTTACTGGACTTGTCGTTATGATTGCCCTGGTGGCGGGGGCGCTGGTGTTGGCGATTGGGCAGGAGGTTATCTATCTCCGGTTGAATTCTAGGGCGAGGAGGATGGGGAAGGCTGAGGTTTACGTGTCATGATTTGCATACACTATATGATCTGGGTATGGAGTTGGGCTGGTAAAAGCGGGAGTTGATGGCGTTGGTTTCTTCAGGGCTACGCTTGGGCATACGTCTTGTCTAGAAGATATATATAGAATTTATTTATTTTTTTTAACTTAGATTGGTAGATTATCGCTTGAGCGGGCTACTTCTAGAGTTTTCCAGTTCACAATTGTCTGTCTGTCCCATTACTACTACTACTACTACTCACCAGACGAAATGGAAAGTTAGCTTAACGAGTTCTTTTCCCGGAGGATCTTGATAGCATCCTCCTTCAGTTTGAACTTCTGGATCTTTCCGCTGGCCGTCTTGGGGAAGATGGTCGAGTGTTCCAGATTGAAAACATACTTCGGGGCTGTAGAGGAAGGACGTCAGTTCTCTCTATGTGCTCCGGAAGTACTCTGCTGAAGCGGAGGTCTTACCAAGGTGATTGCTTAATCGCCCCCTGACCCATTCCCGGATGTTCTCCTCAGTCAAAGGCGCAGAAGCCTTGTCCTGATGTTCTTTGGGAATAATGAAAGCAGCCACGACCTCTCCGTATTTCTCATCGGGCACACCGACAACCGACACGTCCATCACGCCAGGATACGTCAATATACAGTTTTCGATCTCAAGCGGGTGGATGTTCTCTCCGCCGCGGATAATGAGGTCTTTGATTCGTCCCGTAATCGTCACATACCCGTCCGGGGATATGGTGGCTTCGTCGCCGGACTACGCTCCGTGTCAGCTAGCGGGAATCTATGTGATGGGTTCTGTGGGTAAGAGTAAAAGAACACATACATGCATCCAGACCTTCCCCTGATCATCTGCGATCATCGCCTCCGCGGTGCGCTGCGGGTCGCCCCAGTACTCTTTCATCAAGAGGTATCCGCTCACCGCCAGTTCGCCGGGCACACCGACGGGGAGAATCTGGCTCCGATCGGCGGGGTTCACGATTTTCGCTTCTACATGCGGCATGAGTCTGCCGACGCTGTTGATGCGCTTGTCGATGGGGTCGTCGGTGGTCGTCATGGCGGAGACGGGGCTGGTTTCCGTCATGCCGTAGCAGATGGTTAACTCCGTTAGGTTGAGGACTTTGTGGAGTCTCTGCATGAGGGCGGCGGGCACGCTGCTTCCGGCGGCGATGCCGGTTCGCAGATGGCCGAATCCTTCGTTTGGTACCTCGCCGTCGTCGATCAGGGTGAGTTCTTCGATGAACATTGTCGGGACGCCATACAGCGCGGTGCACCGCTCCTCTTGGACGGCCGTGAGCGCTGCTCTGGCATTGAACGATTCGGTGGGGAATACGACGGCCGAGCCGTGCGTTGCCGTGGCCATGTAGCCTAGCACGGAGCCGAAGCAATGAAACAGCGGTGGAGGACAGCAGACAATGTCCTCCGGGGTAAGGCGCATGCGGTCGCCGATCTGGGAGCCGTTGTTAAGCACCGACCGGTGGGTCAGACAGGCGGCTTTGGGCATGGCAGTGGTGCCGGATGTGAATTGGATGTTCACGACGTCATGGGGCGATAGATTTCGGTGTGGCAATGCGGCTTCGTCTGCTGTTGCGCTGGATATCAGCGATGAATACTTCGTCAAGGATTTGTACTCGGAGATGTCCACCCGGCCGGCAGAGTTGTCGACCATAATGATATGCTTCAGGGATGGGACGAGGGCGGACTCCAGTTTTGCTTTGTGGAGGTCTTGGACCAGGTGCTGTAAGATTGCGATGTTGCTTCGGGGCTCTTTTCGCGGCAGATTCGATTCGGTGCTAACAATCATATGGGTGGCCTCGAGGTGGTTTAACGCCGAGACCACCTGAGTTGCGTTGAATGATGGGTTGATTGGGACCTGAGAAGGGCAGTTAGAATTTCATTCCGCAGTATTCGCGACGGAAGAGACTCACGAGGATGGCTCCAAGTTTAAACAACGCATAAGTCGCCTGCGGCACACTGGACGTGAGCGATCTTGGATAATGATACTGAGCGTCATTGGCGCCGGAGATGGGACTTATCGCATACAATGGAGAACTCCATGGAATTTCCCAGCATCACTCCCACCCGGTCGCCTGTGCGCACGCCAACCGACTCCAAGCCCCGTGCCAGGGCGTTGCTTTTCGCATCGAGACCGGCATACGTTACTCGGTCATTTTGGTGCTTGCAAATGACACTGATCATGAGTTAGCTTCTCTTCCAGAGCAAGATGGGCTGGGGACGGGTCAGGAAACAGACGCTGTTCGGTCACCATATGATCTAACGATTTGAGCGAAATGGTCCCCGATGGTGGTTTCGAGCAATGGGGGCTTATAGTCAGAACAAGTCACGTTAGCCTCATGCGATCTAGACGGTCGACACGTAGTACAGGGATACCTCTAACGGTCCACGAGCATAGCTCTGGGTCAGCAAGCCTCGCCGCCATGGGGGCAGGGCTTGCAAGGTCTTCGACAAGTGCCTGGCGCTCCGAGGCGTCCCCGGGGAAACAGCACTCGGGCGACAGGCGAATGGGACACACTTTTTGAGAACAATCATCGCCGCCACATCACTTGTGGTACCAGAGGGCTGTCGTTGGCGTCGTTTGTTGTGTATAGGTCGCGGGTACACCAGTGACCCCCTTGCGTACCGATTGCCGTAAAGGATCACCAAATAGTTTCGATTAGGGCCAATTGTTTATCACTGTACCATCGCGGCAATTTGATTGCTGGTCAGGAAGATCGCACCGGTTCGACAGGTCCACCAGGAGCTCTTATAAGTTGCAGGGAGAGAACGAAAAGACGACGAAGAAAAAAGGTGGTGGCGGACTTTCAGCTCTTCCCCTCACATTAAGTCAATCATGCATGCTACCTTATGCGGGGTTCGGCTCCATCATCGTGACCGCAAATTGCCGAGATTCGTTGGATTTGACTAATCGCGTGCCTGAATTGCCCACGGAGCTTCTTCAAATGCTGCGGTAGATCTACGCTAATTTGTTAGACAGGTTCTTGTTTTAAATGGTCGGGCTAGTTGAGAGTCGCGGTTCTGGACCACTGGACCCTGGTGGATTTGGCCACATTCCTCTCCTCCATGTTTCATCATCTTTGTCACCACCGACAGTGCTGGGCACCACGGATACCTTTCTTTCTGGATCTTCCGTATTCTATGGGATTTACTTCACTATTATCCCTATGAGACTACTATTAGTCAGTGATGTCTCCGACGATCGGGGCGGCTTGGTCACGTTGGGACGAAAAAGGAGGTTAGGGTTGAACTCGACCGAGGTTCAGAGATATATCTCGGCGACCATACCGAACTCGCTCAATCCATCCTCATGCCAGTCAGAGCGGCATCGAACTGAGTCAAGAAAATAATTGAATTTCGCATTTCCCTACAAATTATGTAATTATCCTGGTGCGCCCTGGAAAGTAGAAAATGAATTCAATTCCTGTGTTGACCCACGGCGGCGGAACACGAACCCAAGACACATAATCAATTCATCATGATTAAATACCCATGAGTCCCTGGGGGAAGCCCCCTGGATGAAGAGTCATTCTAACGATATCCTGCTGTGTACAGCCCCATCATTCTACTGACGGTCTGTCAATCATCAGGAAGTGGCCTGGACCACCAATGATATAAGCGAAAAGTGGGTTAACTCACTACTAGTTAATTGTGATGTTAGCCTGAGGGGCCGTTGGTTAGGTGCCGTACTAACGTCGGCTTCAGCCTTGCGGCACAGTGACACTGCATGGCTAGCAGGTTGGGCTAGACCCAACAGAGCATGATAGCGGCAGCTCACCTCTGCTTAGGTTGAACGAACACAGGGCTGTGCAGTTAGTACCATATAATTATAACTCCCTCGTTGTCACACCTTTTTCTAGCTCAGGCACTAGCAGGGGGGACGGTCCGCTCACACATAGTTACATCGAGGCACCTCCTACATTAAAGGGGTATATGTACCCAGCAAGATGGAGTGTGTTTTGTTCCGTTTGTGTTTTCTCCCCCATAAAAGCGGGTATACAGTCCAGGAATTGCCGCCGGGGACGGATTATTCTTCCGATCAGATAGGATGGACGCTGTTAGAATCCTTGGCCTGTTGGCTCTCTTGACTATCTTTAGCGTTGTTCAAGGGGTCAACTTGGCGCTCGATCAGCATTCCCAAGCCTTGGAATTCCCACAGGCCCGACGACTTACTGCGGCTAGTCTGCCCCCGAGTCTCAGAGTACGAGAGATCGAAACAGTCGCCCTGAAGAGAGAGGCAAGTTTCGACTTTATCCACGAAGCGCCGGAAGATGGCACGGAATACGTCTTCGCAACTACCCTCAACGTGGCATCTCAACACCCGATTCTCGCCCTCGAGGCTTTAGATGCCGACATAAATGACATGTCATGCTCGGACTCAAAGATCCAGCTGTCCATCGGCTCGGCTACTCGGACGGAAGCCCTAAAGCAGGAACTTGAGGCGGTATCGGATTTTGTCGTGGTCACCTCCCATGCAGGCTGTGACTTGGAAGGGGAAAGGTCCATCCATCGGTAAGTGTCTGAGTGCGGAGCCGAGACCGAGTCCATCTCATGCTGTAAATAGTGTGACGAAGACAACTGTCGATCTTGCTCGTCAAGTATTCACTCTGGAGAAAGTCAAAAGCGATTGGCACGATGCAAGTCATTCCACCAGCGTGTCTTTCTCTCACAGGCACCGATCAAGGATCCAGAAACGCACATATACCTTGCATCAGAAACGACAGCAGGAGTCAACGAGTGCGCCGACAACCACGAAGGTGGTAGGGGAAGGTTCTGCACCTTCCATATCTTTCCCAGCGGCTCCCACTGCAACAACGGGACTGCCTTCGACTGCGACAAAATCGCTCGACAAGCATTATATTGATCAGAAGATATTTCCGCCAGATACCCCTGCGGCTGACATGTTCATGTAGGTCTCAAAGACGCAATACTAAGATGTTTCACGGCGCTAACGACCCTAGACCGCAAGGAGTGACAGTGACCTGTAAAAACTGCACGCTCCAAGGCGATATCGAGATAACCCGAGGCTCGTTCAATATTTCTGGGAACACGATTAAAGACACAATCGCCTTTTTTGATGACGGTGCACTTGAAATCATATCGAATGGCCTTTACGCGCAGGTTGAACTTGGCCTTGACCTTTCGTTGAGTCAATCTCTGGCTTCCCTCAACATATCTCTCCCTACGATTCCCCTCACTCCATTTGAGGTAGGCATCCGGGCACAAGGTGCTATCGTGTTTTATTATGACGACATTGACGATCCTAGATACCAGGAGTTGTAGCTTTCGGGCCGCTGATCCAACCGGATCTCTCACTTAGCGTTAATATGGTTGAGAAGATAGGGTTCTCTTATGGCTTCAATCTTTCGGTACTGTTTCCTAGCTGGGGGATTTGCCCGTTTATGCTAATTTATGTAGGTGCCCGATAACTCGAATATTAAGATCAACATGAGTGAGCCCGGAAACTCCTCTATCTCGGGTTTGTACGTTGTCCACAACAGTGCATGCATGTCGAATAGCCAGCTAACAGGGCGTAGTGATAAAACTAAGGTTCACGCACTAGAGTTTGAATCTACATCTGCACCGGCGTCCTTAATTTTTAGTGTTACCTTTACGCCGCAGATCCTGCTCGGGGTCAGTACGGCGAAGGGCTTAGTATCCGGCGGTGTTGGAGCATTCGTCAACTTGCCAAAAGTATCTGTGAATGCGACTCAACTGAGTCATGTCAGTGAAAAGTGTGAGCCTGTGGATGGTAATGGGAACGAAGGTGACAGCTTGACATCTGTCCTGGATGATGTCTTCGACAGCCTGACGCATATAGCCCCTTCGGTGGACATCAACATGGGTGTCCTAGCCAACATGGAGGTCGACATCGCCGATTTCAGTGAAAGGATAGGAGTAGAAGCTGTCCTGGCATCAACCTCCTATCCTTTACCCACCGCGTGTTTGAAGTATGATGCGGAGAGCCACACATATGGTACTCCGTCACGGACGCCAAGCGCCACCGCAACGTCCGGGTCAGTTAAAGGAGCCGACGACGGGTCGTCAGAATCGGATAAACAGTCTGGTGCCGCGAGCTTGGGAGAGAATTTTGGTCTTCTACCGCTCAGTATTTTGACGGCTTCGCTCATTGCTGTTGGATATTGTAATTAGGGCTGATGAAGATGGAATGAAGCATGTGTGCACGATATGGAAAGATGTATGGAGTAGATAGTACTAGTAGTGTCATGGATCGGAGACAAATGAAGGGGTGTATGCAAATCATGCAAACCATACAAACCCCAAGGTTTAAGGTTTAAAAAGAAGCAACCGCAGGGTCTTGTGGCAATGGCGGCCGTGACCTGGAGGGGTCGATCGCTCCCTATCCAAGGATAGATTTAGGCAGGCTGTGGGGGGAAAGAATGCACTGCCATTGGTGTCCTTAGTGGGCATTGTTCGTATTGCCAGAAGACAAAGAACAAGAAGCGCACTGCCACAGGACATGTGATGTCGCATTGCAAACGCGGGAGAGGGCGTCGGGCACCCAATCGAGTCTAGCGCGGAGTCGGGATCCCAAAGAGGAAAGGTGGGCTCTGGACGCTCGAGGTTCTTCCGTCCTCACGCATTCAGGCATCTCTTTCTACATCTATTCTCTTCCCCCTCAAGTGAAGGCTTGGTGTTCCTTAGTCATTAAAAAAAATTTACTCCTCAGCGCGACGTTGGACAGTCTGTTTTCTCGCTTTCTGAAAGCGCAACGACCTCCTCGTCTTCGGGTGAATCCTTTGAACTCAGCCGCCTGAAAAAGCCCTCATTACACTACCCTATCAGGAAAGGCTTCATCGGGTTCGACCCTGACTGTACTGTACATCATCCATCATTTCTTTCGTTGGAACACGAGTCACTCCTTGATAATGTCTGCCGACCAATTGCTTTTCTCAATGGGTCATTCATCCCAGGGTGATGAATTCTTCGACTTTGACAACTTCTTTGATTTTCCCTCGGGTCATGTCGACAGTAACCCGACCTCGGTCAATTCAATCTCCCCCAAGGACTTGGACCTGGCCTACAACGACCTAGACGGGTCAAATTGGGATTCGGGGCTTGACATGTGCACTCAATTTCCATTCACCGACTTTGGCAGCAACGAACCATCATTCCAGGAATACTACGGTGGCGCCGCGAATGCCGAGCCCGTGGTAGATCCCAATGATATCCTTCAACTGCCTTCAACTTCACCCAGTGAAGTCTTCGTGGGATCTGGTTTTGACAGTGCCTGGCTGCCAGGTGCGCACGGTTACGACGACCATTACTATTCGACCATTCGCCATATGGTCGAGTCGCAAGCGGCGGTTGACCCGAGCTGTTCATCCAAGAAAGAAAAGCGTCGAGAAGCAGCCATAGCCTTACATCTGCAGCGCTTGCAAGATGCCCCACTTCCCGAGACAGACTTGTCTTCGGATTCAAATACCAGCTTCCCATCGCCTCCGTGGAGTGTTTCACATGACGCTGCATGCGCCAGCCCTGCGACTACTTCATTATCTGATTCAACCGGCAAGTCGCCAACGCCTCCCTCCGCCGATGCGACAGCCGGCGGGATGGAGTTGGTCTTAGACCTTAACATGAACACGCCGGCGAATCTACCGAGGAAGCAGAAACCTCGGTCACGGGCTCAAAAAGAAAATTACATCAAAGTCCGAAAACATGGTGCCTGTGAAAAACATCGAAAACAGCATAAGAGGGTAAGTCAACCGACAATTTATCTAGGCGAGCAAAGTATACTGATAAGGATTTAGTGCAATTGCCTGGACATCAAGGGCGCTCACCTCAATGTCAACAGCATCGCTCTTTCTCCTACTACAGCGGTATTTGACTCGGCCAGACAGATTAGCCTGTCTCACACACGGCCACGCCATGTTTCACTGCCTAAACAGACACCGCCCGGCGTGCTTCCACCCAATGTGGAAGCTCCCAAGAGCGTGCTTTGGAAGCACAGGGAGAGAGATGTTCCTTGGTCTCCACGGGACAATTACTCGGTCACTGCGCCTTCACCATTGGATGTGTACCATGGAAGGCGCTCACCGGGCTCTCTGTCAAAGCCAATGGAAGCCGCACACACGGGACAACCCAGACCACAGGTGTCACAGTCTTACAGGTCGACAACGCCTTGGCGTGGTGTCGGCCAGACTCCTTCAGTTCCTGGCCGCCTGATGTCGCCAAAGCAGAAGCTGCTTGTAACGACCTCGAAGCAACAATCTGTCCTAGAACGGGGATCTACCGTCAATCACGTGTCAAGCGCTTTGCCTCAGACTATTACTTGGCGTCTCAGCCCAGTTACAAAGGCAAACAACGAACGTTCACTTCGCATAGAGTCTACAAGGGCAGAGATGAACTCCCTGCCACTTCAATCTGTATCTACCAGTCGCTCTTCGACTGGTGGAAGCCAACAATCGCGCATTGCGCAAACTATTTCTACTGTCACAAGCCAACAAGCATCGGCTGGAAAATGCCCTACCGCGCTCAGCAAGTCTGCTACCACAGCGATTTTCAGCACTGGCCTCGCATTTGCCGGCTTTTGGCAGGCTATTGGATCGGTTGTTTCTTCGGCCGGGGGCATGCTTGGTAGTCTCGCTGTCTTTGCTTCCAAACAACATTGGTTTGCTAGGAAGGGACTGGGGCTAATTTAACCCCGAGCCTGTCTGAGCTTTTGTTCATGCTGAAGCTGCTGTCCTTTGATTGTTCGGTTGTGGGAAAAGATACCTCCTGGTCATTTTTGGTTTGTTGCGACGTTTTTTAGCGGGGTTTGTTGGACATATTTTCATGGATATTCGATCGGTCTTTAACGATTGGCTAGAGTTAGAGAAATAAATAATTTTCTACCTTCATTTTCTCATTCCATGGTCTCTGTAGTCCAGGGCTGGTTCCTGTAAACACAAAATAGAATGCATGCTTGCAGTTTCCCCACCCTTAGGCAAACTACCCCACGGCCCGTGGAGTTTAGGGTTAGGAGAGTGTCCACACCAGGCACGCCGTCTTGTACCTGAATGTCACTCTCGTACTACTAGTAGTCACCCCTAATAACCATCCATGCAGGTCCATTTGTCGTGACAATGACATCCAAATCCACCCCTCCAGACTTCCACTTCAACTTCACAACCGTGACCGGTTATTTCCTCCAAGATGACCCAAGCACCGACCCCGACAACTTCGACTACGTAAGTCCCATGCCACTCCATCCCGCACCTCATCCCCAATAAACAAAAGAATAAGCACCCACAAAGCCAACAAACAGGTCACATCCAATTTCGGACTCATACCTCGGAGCTACGACTCCGACCCTGAGTTCGACCCCGAGGGCCGCAAGACCCAGTGGGAGCGGTTCGAGTACCAACTCAACCAGCTAAACCGGGACAGCAGTCCCGCGACGCAGTTCAAGCTGCTCTTCCTGGGTAGACATGGCGAAGGGTTGCATAATGTCGCCGAGAGGAGATACGGTACTGAGCTTTGGGATGTATGTATCCGTCCTTCCACTAGTATCCCTCTTCCTCTGTCTCTCTCTCTCTCTCTCTCTCTCTCTCTCTCTC